TTTCAACAAATACATATGTATAATGATTTACATTTTATTTTCAAATACTAAAATACATGATTCTCAACAGAAATTATAATCACTCATTTAACTAGTATTTAAAGCTGTTAATACTTAGTTATTTATTTTTTAAAGTGTGGTCGAGCAATTGAAAAAGCTCTTTGTAGAGAGTGTGGTGCTGAAATTGGCGGTCAAAGACATCATATCCTAGCGGGAAACACTAAGGATATGGGGTAAGTTGTAATTAAATCATACCTCCAGTCATTGAAGATCGTGAAGTACTATGTTCTTGCTGTGCATTAGTTATTTCAATAATAATTCATTGGATGGTTCATTTATTCCAACGTGTGTATAAAACGATATTAGAGTGACATGAAGTATTATAATCACTGCCGTAAAAACATCTACGACTGTTGATATCTTCTTGATTTGGCACTTTTTCTGTATTGAAATATGGAGTTATGCTTAAGAGAAGAAGGCAGTCTTGAACTGGTTAAATCAAACCAAACCTGCAGCTTTACTCTTTAGACAATATTTGTGATGTCAATGTTGATATTTATTCGCCTTGCATCAGTGTAGAACTGGTATCAACTTGATATATGATATTTAACTTTGATGTTGCTTCACAAGGCTCTGCCACCATTAATACTATTTTGAAAATTGCAAATGGAACATTTTGGAACTGAATGAATGTTATGACATAAAGTTGTGTCAAACGAACTTGAGAGTTGGACCAAGCTGCAACGAATACAAGTAAAATCAATTATGATGCAAGGAAAATCTAAATGTATAAACAATGCATTTTTAGAACTGACAGAACAGAAACAGGTCATATACTTGGTCAGGCTGCTACAATAGGTCGCGATCCTAAACCGGAAAGGCTCATGACCCCAACTAGTTGTGCAATTGTGAGATGTTTACTACACATTGCTATGTACTTGGGAACTAAGGAAAATTCACAGGTACTTTAAAAATCGTTACTGTTCTAAAGTATGTTGTGTATAGAGCTTGTTTTATGTATATGTGTCATTCTAAATCAACAAGACTAGAAGTTTGATAAAATATTTATTTAATTACTTTTCTTAAATGAAAATAATGATTTTAGCCGCATCTTCCGTAGAAAAAGGTGGAATTATAGTCATGACCCTTTTGTTGGCATGGTCGTTAGCGTTGACTTACTTTTTCCTTAAATTCCATTTGTCTTTCTGAGAAACTATCTAAGCTTTTTACTTCACAATTGATAGATTTGCTCATTTTCAAAATGTGACGCTCAATCATAAGTGCAGAAAATCTCAAAAGTATATTTTGCACAGAATTTCCATTTTCTTAACGTTTGGTTAATCTTTTTCTTAAGGCTCAGCTTTCAGAAACTATAAATGATATTCATTTCAAACTTTGAATATTTGTTCATTATCAAAATGCATTTTAAGATGATTTTGGTCAGTTGTGCCTCGAAGGTGGCATTGTTTACATGCATTTTAAGGTTATAGATAATCATTTAAGACATAAGATACTTCCACAATGTTAAAAGTTAAAGAAATTTCCGATGGGCAGATAACCCTGAAAGACATTTTTTCCCTAATTATCTCCTTTTTTACTTTAAATATTTTTTTGTTTTCAACAGATAGATGTATTCACTATATAACGCTCCATTTTTCTACTTTGTTTTCACTTAACAATCCAGCAAAGGGAAAAGTAAAGCATGCTCTCCATGGACGATATTTTAAGCCCCTTCTTATGAATTCATTAAATTGTGTTTACATCCATTATTTAGTATCATTTATTATTACTTGTTTTAGTTAGATAACATAAATATTTAAAGAGCGATAAATGACATAGCTATAATGCTATTTTTTAAGCTAAGCATATGTTTAATTTTTTGAGTTTGTTTCTACAATTGTTTAACTGAAGGGTATGGGCACTGCTATGTTACATGCTTAACTTTATTTAATAAAATAAGAAACTAACGGAAAGAAACGGTCGTATAGTTATTTATACAAATACTGTCCTTATTTATTTAAGAGCAGAACTACGAGAGACTCTGTTAAAACAATGCAATGATTTTTATAATGACTTTGCACGTGCTTCTGACAGCTAAATGACATACCAAAGTAACCTATCTCATTAAGTATAACAAACTTTTGATACGCCCTATAACCAATTAAAAGCACGTTAACATATTCAAATTTGACTTTTGGTCAAATGTTATAGTGATAAACAGTCTTATCACAACAATTAAAATGGTTTATATTTAATTGTCATTTTAATGCCTAATTTGACGAACTGTACTTAAATATTGGAATACCATAATCGAAGTATACAATATTTGTCGGCTGGCATGCAAAGTACATGGTTTTGTTTCACTGCCAGAAATGTAGGTCTTTATGCAGTTCAACTTTCAAATTTTACGAGGCAACATTCCATAGAAATGTATACTATATTGACATGCAATTAAGTAATGAAGTTTGCAATCAAAACTAATTAAGCTTTTAATCACAGAAGATAATTAAAACATGTAAAATTTATTAACCATAAGTATTACTATGTTACACATGCTATGACTTTTTAAAAGAAATTGTAATAATAATCGGCCCATCTCATGATGAAATATGGTCTTAGAATTAAGCTATTGTGACCTCTACTTTAATTTCCATTTATTGCTATTCTTTTTCATTTAAAGAATGACAGCAGTGTGACAATATTTCATATCGCCTGTTACAAACAATGTTACAAATAATGTTAAAAATAACGTCCTTGTGATATGATAATAAATAATATATAATATATAATAAAATTTGCAAGTATTTTAAAAGGGATTGTAAATGCAGATATGTTTTTTCTTATTTTATGGTAGAAAAAGTGAACATTATATTTAAGACTATTAATAATTATATAATAACTATGCATATAGTTGCATTATTTTCTTTTTATTTCGTTTGTTGATCAGGGGGTGCAAAATCTAATAAAACCAGATATAGAAGAAGATGAAGTTGAACATTATTTGTGGCGACATATAAAAATTGATATTGATACGCTTTGCAAGGCTCTGAATCGAAGTACTGATGATGTTCTACTGTTTATACATCTTGTTATTGATAACATTTTCAATGCACACCAGGAAGGTCAGTAAATATATTGATAATAAAAGTCACTTTGGTCTTTTATTCATTCTATATATAAATGATTTACCTTTAAACCTCCCAAATACATCTACTGACATGTTTGCAGATGATACAACTATCACCTCTTTTGGATCATCTATTGACTCAGTCTACAGATCACTACAAAATAGCATTGACATCATCTACGACTGGTGTGCAAGAAACTCTATGCTACCAAATCCTCAAAAAACAAAAGCGATGATAATCTCTCCATCAAATATTATTTACAACACAATTAAATCAAGCAATGACTACATTTTGAAAATGCAAGAAAATGACATTGGAAAAATTACTAGGAATTCACGTGGATCATAGATTATCATGGAACTGTCAAATTGAACATCTGATTAAAAAATGCAATTCATTACTGTATCTTCTACTTCGTATTAAACAATACCTAAACAAACAAATGAGAATAGTTTTTTATAATGCATACATATTGCCACACCTAGAATACTGCTGCACTATTTGGGGAAATTGTAATGATGAATTACTGAATAGCTTATACAAATTTCAGAAGAGAGCCGCCCGTATTATACTTGATGCAGACATTGATACACCCTCAGATATATTGTTTCATGAATTGAATTGGTTAAAAATACATGACCGCATACATTATAAAAAGGCAATTCTTGTTTACAAATCCCTTAACAATCTATTGCCACATAATATGTCTGATTTATTTTTCGCATACAAATCACACAACTCTTAGATACACACTCAACAGACACTACATATACCCAAACCTAGATTAGAATTTTGCAGACAAGCTCTTGCATACTCTGGGCCTAAAATCTGGAACAAATTACCATTACATATCAGGCAATCAAACAGTCTTGCACAATTCAAAAAAAAAAAACATACTTAACATGGTGGTTCTCTGGTGGAAACCTCTGCTTAAATGCAACGTAAATATTTGTTGTTTTTTTTTTTAATTTTTTTATTATTTTTTTTATTTGTTTAAGTATGTTTGTTTTATATATATGTTAATGTTCCCTTTTGATAACATTTATATACCGGTATATTATCAACACATGTCTTTTGTTGTTTAAGGTTGATCTCACATATTTCAATGTTGAATGTATAATAATGAAATCAACTTATGTAGTTATTTAATCTCTTATTGATGTATTTTATTTTATAAATTGTTTTGTACATTGTTGAGGCTCACAGGGAAGACTGGGCTTGCCCAACTGTGTTTCCTCATTAAATAAAGTCGTTACTTACTTACTTACTTACTTACTTACTTTATTCATCTATTTTCATTCAGAACAATTATCTCTTTAAGTAGTCCAAGCACAGTGATTAAAAACATATTTCTTTTTCTACTCTTTTTCTTTTACATATTTTCTTTTTATTTTTTATTTATTTTTTTTTTTTTGAGAGAGTGGGGGTTTTATGTTGTTTTTTTTTTTAATATGTCCAGATTCCTCAGTCCGTGTTAGTAGCGACCGACTTGTTAGTTTTCTATATAAAATGGCTTATAACAAAGTAATGAGATAATCAGAGATGTTTGGTTACTATTCCCTATTCTTTTATATTCTTTTTATGACAATGTTGAAAAGTTTCCCAACACAATTGAGTTCTCCCACCAATGATAATTTGTATTTCGTTCTCCCGACTTTTTTTCCAGACGATGAAGTAACATATGAAGTTTTGCAGTTATTAACAAAAGAAGGACGTTTAAAATGGGAAAAACTATTCTGTTCCAGATTACTTCAAGGTGTACTGAAGGTGTGTTTGTTAATTTATTAGAGTATTTAAATAAGACAGGTACATAGTAATACCGTCATAAAAACAAATAAAATAAATGTTTATAACTGATTGTTATAACTGATTTTATTTTAAAAATAAAACTTTGATATGTTTTATAGGAGCTTTCATATTTCTCATAACATTATATTGCAGGTTCTTGATGAAGCATTGAAATCAAATAGTCAGTTGATAGCAAAAGACAAAAGATTAGGTATGCTTTTACATTTTCGGTATACTTTGTCATTTACGTCCAACTTCCCATAAGCCTACAATAGTATTCTTTATATTTTATAGATTCAGAACTTAATTAATTCGTCTAATACACTAATAACAATGTAATTAGTATCTGCCTTTTATCTCAATATGCGTTCAAAGACTGTTTATTTTTTTCATTTTTTCCAAATATTAATGATAGGCGTACACTTTTTCCTTTGTATTTGTATGATGCAGTCAATAATCAATCGAACTACACATATTACATTTATTTTGTTATCACGGAATGCAATTGAACATGTACTTTATTTACAATCAAATTGTAAATGTCAAACTTAAGATGTTCTCATGTATCTTCAATTAGGAGCTGACCCTCTTCTATGTTTGTTGTACGAAACGGACACCCAAACAGAGAACGAACATACAGCAGAATTACATAACATGCCTCGTGTCTGGAGATACAGAACTACAATTTCACTTCAACAATTAAGACAGGAAGTAGATGCCAGCTGTCCCAATAAACATAAAGTTCTGAAATTGTTTCTGGAGGAGGTAAGAGATTTAAAGTAGAATGCAAAAACACAGAATTTTTAGGTTTGTTTAAAAGCAATATGGCCAGTTTTCATCAATTTCATATAATTTGTTTCATCAACTCATCTTAGTTGATGAAAAACATATGTAAGTCATAATATTTGTTAAATTTACCTATAATGATATATGCTCAAGCAAAATCTGGTCATTTTTATCCAGTAAATGTAAACTTGTTTTAAGTGAAAAATCTATTTAATCAACTAGAGAATTGTCTTACACAGGAGCACCGTCTGAGGGCTATAAGATATATACCAAGTATCCTTCATCTCCATCGTATGTTATTGAGCAAATACTATAAAAAGATTGACAAGACTGAGGCTTCGAATATCACATTTAGGATGCTTGCTCAAGGTATTATTACATCACCAAATTTATACTTTGTAAATGTAGTCTAAATGGCAATAAATTTATCGCCTGGAAATGAAAGGCAACAATTTAAAAGTGTCCTTTCAAACATACTCTGTAGTTGAGTTTGGTACCTTGTGTTTTATGTTTTAGATTCAACGTTTTTTTGTTTGTTTTTTTTCCCTATGTGTTTGTTTCATAAACTTATATGTAATTTGAGAAAAGTACAAATAATGAAGAATAGGAAGATGATCTTTAAAAGCATAATGTTTAGATTCAGTTCTGCAAATAAATTCAGTACGTTTGTAATAAACTTTGTTATATCCTAGAACAAGTTGCAGGAATAGAAACAGAAGCACTGCTTCAAGACTTTAAACATGCTTGGGATTTGGTCAGAAACAGTCTTCAGATGTATTGTAAGTAATATACCACTCGCAAATACGCAACGATAATATTCTTTTCAGTATTGCTAATTTTGCAATATCTGACTGGAGTGACAAAATGTTTCAAATGAAGTGTTTATTGAAATGTGTTGTTTATTGCTGATCCCGTAAGATAAACTTTGAAGGCAATTAGTGCAACTGTTGAAGATTTATATGCTGCTCTTTCACAGATAGCTGAGTCTTCATATTTCGTAACTTATTTTGTATAAATCATTTCATAATGCATTCATTAATAATGTTACTTGATGTCAGAATTCTACTTAAAGTAAATCTTAATAATTCTTTATGTATGAACATTTGCATCATCAAGTTCACGCTTCTTATAGTCTTTACTGTCCTGTCACAATTTGATTTATCAGTATCTTAATGTAACTTGCATTTAACCATTTTGATATTTTACTTTACAATTTCAGTGTGCCCAACTGAACTTGGAGGCATGAGGGTGCCAAAAGAATTTTGCAATATGCGGATTAGTGAAAAAACTCCTTTATCTATGTTGCTACCTACAGAGAAAGAAATGGGACTTTGTTCTTATGCATTGTTGGATTTTCTGTTGAGAAGTCAAAATGCTTTCCTTGACAAGTACATAAAACAAGCAAACAGGTACATAAAGCATATTTCTAATTGAAATATAATTTATAATTTTTCAGCCTACCGTTATTGAAGTAATGGAGCATCCGTTGTCGAGTGGTGAATGTCGTTGACTTCAAACCATTTGCCCCTCACCGCTGTAGGTTCTAATCCAACCTGTAACTTTAAATTTTATAATATGAGGGAGCTATCAACCTAGCTTACGGAACATCGGTGGTTCGTCTCACTTTCCCGCTCTTAAATTATGCATGGATGGTCATCTGAGAGCTTCCTCACGTACTAAAGTTAGAAAGTCATATGGCATGGACTGTGTTAATGCACCGTAAATAAATACAAGTATTGAAAAAAGGTCAATAGCTTTTTGCCATGTAAAGCAAATGTTTCAATTTATGGTTAAGATTTGAAATAGATATGTTACTCATGTAAAATTTAATTTAATTTCAGAAATTCATCATTGATATCTAAAGTTTTACCTAAAGATGTGACATCGGCCCATCTGATATGTTTTGATCCACAACGTGATTTGCTACCACTACTTTTGGCTAATTGTCATTACTCATTTGAGCTTGGAAAAGGAACAAAAATTGAGTATAATTTGACTGGCCTTGAAAGGCAACTGATGGACAGATTCCTTTTCTCAAAGTCCATTATAGATGTGGGACGCTATTTGATGGTAAAGTTTCCCCATTTAATGTTACTATAAAAAAATAACTAAATTGCACGTTGATAATGATTACTATAAGAAAGACAAGTTTTATTGCTATTGACTGTCTTATTTAAATAACACAAGTGTTTGACTTTTTGTGTAAGATGTTGTTGTTTCACCATATAAAATAATAAAATTTTCATATATTATTGTTCATTTCAGATTGACACTATGGTATACAGAACAGAGATAACCGATGCTGTAGTCTTTAAAAGGCTGGAAGACAAAATTCCTCAGGTACTTAATATTTATTAGTGAATTTAAGTTATATTTTTAAAACTTAATTATGCATCATGGTATTCAATAAATGCACATTTCAATGTCATAATTTTATTTTAGTGTTTTTTGTTCAGTAAATGCCACATTTTTTGTAAAAGATTGATTTCTACATGAATCGAAGCCAGAGGTGGTTTGAGAGATTTCCATTATCTGGCTTAAATAAGGCTCAATTAAAGTTTAAACCGAATCAACGATCCTGCTTATTTTTGTTTTAGTATTCTCCAACCATCTCCCCTTAGCATCTTCATGTTTTATTGATAAGGTTGATTGTTTGAGGTTCGGGTACACGCAAAATGTTCCATTCATTTCAAAATATAAAACACAATAATATATAAATAAATATACTAGTAGACGTTTCAGTTATCTGCACAACTTGACTTTCGAGTCAACATTGAAATGGACTAAAAATGGAGACAAATTATGCTCACATTGAATAGTAGATAAATTATACTTATATCCATTAAAAAATATTACGTAAAACAATTTTACGAGAAATACAGGCTACTGGTATGTTCAAGTTGGTTTGACGAAAACATGTTAACTTTTAAGCGTCTTACTTTTAAAGTGACATTATGCTCATATTTTCATAGTCAAGTTGAGCTGAATTTACTTTGTATTTCTAAAGATTGACTGTCAAAATGGTGTTTGACCAACAGTTGATATTGGAAAATGTTTAGGATAAAATTATAAATCTACCTTAAATTTAAAAAGACTGCCCCACTCTTTTTATAAACTAAGCGTTATACATAAATTCTAACGGATATTTACAGAAATTTCATTTGGATCTGTCTGTTATCTGTTGTTTATGTGAACTAAATTATTAAATTAAAAGGGATTATGGGAAAATGAAAACATATTTTGATCTTCACCCATTCACGCACTATATACCCTTGGATGGGCATAATGTCACTTTAAACTGTAATTAAAATTTGTTTGCAGGTGACGTTAGATTCTACGGTAAGGACACAAATATGTAATGATATAAGACATTTACCGGAGTTATGGCAATCCCTAACAAACATTGACATTGCCATTAGCTTTCTCAAAACAACAGGCGGACACCCAGAGCAAAATTTACATGCTTATATGACAGAAACGCTTCAGATGGAGTCTTCTATTCCAAGTCGTAAAGTATGAATACCTTTGTACATTGTACCATGAATTTCAAATTCACCGTCTAAATGTTTTTTTTTATTTTACTTTTCATTGTCATTCATGCCAAACATTTATGTTTAAAGATAAGGTACTTCTTAACTCAGTGCTGCTTGGGCAGGTTTTGTATTAACTGATAAACAGACTGCAATTAACCCTGAACAGTTTTGTTGTTATTGTTTCCGGGGGATCTCATCTTTTTGGAAAGACAATGTATCTTTATTTAAATTGAATTATCTGACGTGTAATTATGACTCTACCTGTTATAGCAAAAAAATGAGATTTTAGAATGTTTATGCTGATTTGTACTATATATATCAGAATCAAAATTCATATTTTATTGATACAATGTAGGCACAACAGATATGTGAGTTCCAGCACATAAAATCCCTATGGTTATTGTTGTCTCTACAAAAAGCAAAGAAAATGTCAGACTCTGACAAGGGTAGCATGGTAAATATGAATTCATGAATTACACATGATCATCTTGTTTAATTTATACGCAATATATTTTGTGCGGTGAAACTTTATTAATCACTGTGCATAGACACATTTCTGCCGTGATTGTTATAGTAAAGTTAAAATGGTTGAACTTTGTCCATGTAGTGATAGAACATAGCTTATTTATATCTACATCATCAATTAAGTGTATTTAGTGTCATATTGAAAAATATACCTATCATGAAACAAAATTCTTCATTTGACAGCCAAACCCCACGTAAGTGCAAATAAGTTTTAAGTTTTTTTTGTTGTTTTGTTTTATATGCCTGAAAACAAACAAAAAAATCGGCATGTGTATTACATTGATAATGCTTTCATCTGATCTGTCCAATTCATACTGAGGATTTCATTTTACATGTATCAGTGTCATATGTAACACCTATGTATAGTACTTGAGCATTTTATTTTTGTTTTATATTATTTTTTTTGTTTGGATATCTTTTAATTCTTTGTATTTTCATAATCATTTCTAGTCTATATTTGAGAGTGTCCCACCAGAATTTCATGAAGATATTTCTGAAGAATTGCTCACACCCTTCACCAACTACACACAGTCGCTTTCTATAGAAAGGCTTACAGAACTTGTAGAAGCTCTTCACGAGTTTATTCTGCTAGTGGTAGCTGTGAAACAGAATATGGACGATAGTGAGTCCATGTATACAACTGAAAACAAGTATGTCAATCAAAATAACAAAACTTAAACTTAAAAGACAATCTTAATTAGACATTTAAACAGTGTCCGTGGCTGAAATGATATTTGTTAATTATTTATTTAATCATCTTATTAATCATGGAAATAACGACGTGTTTAAGAATACGTCAATATATTATTATATCATACCCCCTCCCCACGAAGACTGAGGGACAGCGTAAAAGACAGAGTAATATGTACTGACGTTCTCCATCAAGAAGTTCATCCTTCCATCTGCCCGATGTCCATTCGTTAGCTATTAGGATCAATTTATTGAGAAGAAGTACAGTACCCAATACTCGTTACTCTCCTTTATAAAATTTAGAGATCATGCCTTTAATTTTTCTTTGGGGCATTACTGAAGAAGAAAATGTGATATAAATTTCGGTATAAACATGCTTTCATTCTAAGATTGTAATTCTTATATTGACATGATTTATGTAAATGACAAAATGTCAGTAAATAATGTCATTATATTTTAAAAGGATGTCCGTTTGTTTGCTTTACACTTCTCCATTGTATAGGCTTTGTATCATAATGATGTTCTGAGGCACATTATACTAAAAAACTTTAATCAAGTGGTATATAAATGCAAAGATTTGCTTGTCATTATTTTGTTTTTCATCAATGAAGTTTATGATGTATATACTGTCACAATTAGCACACCTATTGTTTTACTTTTACGTAAAGCTTTTAAAACAAAATTCAATGTATTGCTAATACTAGTAATCTTGATAACTGAATTAAAAATTAGTTGTATTACTTGAAACTTTTACATTTCTTAGTTCCCTTTTGTTAATTCACTCATATTGCCATTATAGCATTACTTATTGTTTATTTGTTTTTTTTCTAGGATAAGTGAATGGTTGTTTGGATATATGGACAGTCTGGATAATCCATGCATTGATTTAGAAGTACTTGGAGGTTTTCCGGGTGAATTGTTGTTCAAACACAGCGTCAAGTTATGGATGGTTACTTACAGTCAGTTAAAGATAAAGGTGACACGGAGTGCTGAACGGTTTTAAGAAGTAGAACAGTCATTTCAATAAGGAAAGAATTTATTATGAAACTGATGTATTTTTAGGTGAACAGTGTTATGGGAGTGACTGTTTTAAACATAGTGTAAATGAAGTTGCCATGATGATAGAACTTATTCATAAAAACTTGTTAAAGCATTTGTTTGGCGTTTATCTCACAAAAATTGTGTGTTAAAGCTATTAACCTTTGTTTACTTATATCATTATAGTTGAATGCCATATTCCAACTTTTTTCATTTTGTGTGTTTTTTTGTTAGTATCATTATTGTTTCGGCTACACTAAAAGTGTGTGATGTTGTTGTATTTAAAGTGTACTGCAGTATTGATCTTTATTATTTTCTATGTGATATAAAGTTTTGTGATCATACAATTACGATTTCTGAACATTACATTTATAATAATGGTACTGTGTCATTGATACAAAATCTCTCATTCAAGCCTCATTGATATGTTGTATTAGATATTTTTCGTTGATTACAACCATCCTCTCTAAATAATATCATCTTCTCAGTACAGTAAGATGTTGTTTGTGTAGAGTATGTGAGTAAATTTATATAGAATAATCAGATAATCTTACGTGTGTATAATATATTAACAGAAATATTTGCTCATAGTTGAGAATTTTAATAAGTGAAATATGTATGAATTTTGACGGATTTATATTGTTTGAGTTATCTCGAGTTAATTTGAAAATTCTATTGTAACAATGTTATTGATGTTTTAATGAAACATAATAATACTGTTGTTTTCAAATCCATGTGAAGAAATGTTTTTGAGCATTTTAATAACATGTAGCTGAAAGTCACAACAGTGGAGCAGGTGTGCACATACATTTGATATACATGTAATGTAAAAAAAATAAATCTACTATAATATATACTATGATAAACTTTATTGTTATTAAATATATAAAAACACATGGTTATTGTCTGGAGCACGTTTCAAAATCCATTATTTGACGGAATGTTTTTACTAAATTGGATATTTACTTTTTATGTTTGGATGTAAATGTTGTTTACTGATATTGACAATCAATGGAAGCAATGACTTAAACTTAATAACTTTTATATATTTATTTCATGATGTTTTATGACATTGTAAACGATGTGTAATTCTAATAAGAATGCATAAAGGCATAGGATTTTCAGTTGGTTGATAAAGCAAGGAATAGAGCTTATATTTCCTTTTGTATTTGCATGCCACATTGTAAGAATAGGATTATATCAACTGCTTACTCATTATGCAGCATTTTTACTTCAATAAAAGAAATTATATGTTTCTTTCACTGACCTTTTACGGAGGAGAAAGCAGTGGTTTGTTGTGTTTTGGTGAATGTTTGATAGTGAAACTAAATAAAAGTTATAATAATTTAGTTAATTATTAAGCATATTGATTAAAATTAAGGTGTACAAAAATATTTGCATGTAAAAATGAGTATATTTATATCTTTGTTATATCATTACCATGTGCGATTGGTTTGCTAAATGGTTGTTCTAAATAAAATCGATGATTCAGAAATGATCATTTCTTTTTATTATACTATTTTTCTATAATAAATGAAATTTTCGTAGATTGGATTATTTATGAGATGAACTAGATGTTCATTCTCTTTCGTCAAACCCAATGATGCTTGAGGAATATTATTTGTTTCAATATAAATTAAATCAAATAAAATTCAAATTTAGAAACTAATGCACATATACAACGGTTTCATTCAAGGTGTTTATGTTTTTCATATAATCACGGATTTATATTACAGGGATCGGACACTCCCAGTTAACATAGCTTTTCCAATTATTATCCGGTTTTGGAAATTTAAAGTTTATTTTGAAGAAAAATACTTGTTTAATTCAAATTTCTTATTTATTTTAATTAAGGTACATTTTATCTGTCCGCAACGACGATTAATAAACTTGACGAAATCCGCGGTAAATTTACATATTTTTTATATAAAGAGCAGGGAGTTGAAATTTATTATAAACATAATAAATTAAAATTCAAAATGAAAAAGAAGCGGATGTGAGTTATTCAATCAAAGATGCAATATTTAAGAATTATTGGGTTATGTAGTCAAACGCAGAATTGTTTTATGGTAATGCAGTGGCGGATTCAGGCCCGGGCCTAAGGGCTGCAGCTCCCCCCCCCCCCCAGCTCGGCCCAAAGATACGTTTACCAGCTGGGCTGGAATATATTTTTGTCAGTTTCAACTTTTATTGGCTGCAGTGTACTCCCTTGTCATCCAGTTGTTAATCTCCTGTCTGGGGGCTTGGCAGAGATCTATATCTATCAATATACTTGAATAACTTCAATGTCAAACTGCATAATTAATTGGTTTATTACTTTCCCAAGGTCTAATGAAATTAATAGTCACAGATAGTGGCAAATAGATGTGTTACAAAGTACACAACAGACCGTTTTTATAAAAGTGTTATTTTGTGGAAAAGATGGATATATTGAGGATTATTTTTGAAGGTGCTTGAGATAAGTGACATTTGCATCTGAAACTGCATTATTACTTCATGTTTGTTTTTGTGTCGCCTCTACGGAGTAGTGGTGACATATAGGGATCACTTCTCCGTCGTCTGTGTGTCTGTCTGTCCGTCCATCACAAAACTTGTCCGGATTACTTCTCATAAACTACTGGTGCATTTTCATCCAAACTTTACAGGAATGATCAGTACCAAGTCTAGTTGTGCATATTGTCAGCAATTTCCGGTTCAATGATTTTTTACAGAGTTATGGCCCTTTAATAATTTTAAGTTTGTCCGGACTACTTCTCTTATACCACTCATGAAATTTCAATGAAACTTTACAGGATTGATCTGTAGCTCAAGTCCTTTCGCATATTGCATGGGTTTTTAGGTTGAATGATTTTTGGCCGAGTTATGGCCTTTTGGTAAAAAGGTGTTTTTTATTTGTTGGAGTCGTCAGACCAAACAAATAATGGTAGCGAAATTTCAGAGCCTAATGCTGTTAATTGCAAATGCCTAAAGTAGTTCACTTTTTTGAAGCGGTTACTTCCCTTTATATGTACACGCCGAAAAATTCAGGGGAGATCAATGCGTAAAGATTGTCGTATGACAGGCGCATTGATTTTCAATCAAAGTAGTTCCCGAATGGTCGAAGATTTCTATTATTGTTTCATTCTTTTATAAATATACATGCTTACAGTAAGCTCCATCATTATTTTCATCTGTGTTAAACAACAGGTTCAGCGTCGAAATAATAAGAGTTACAAACCGTAATTTAGAATAATATGGTTTTCTTCATCCCATTAACAAATAACTTCAACGTGGCCGAGGGGATAGCGCGCTCGCTTAGAAAGCGAGAGGTCTGGAGTTCAAATCCCAGTTGAGGCAACTCATTTTAAAAAAAATAAGTCAAATATGCTTTGATTTTCTTTTTAATTGTATTAGACCTATTTACCGTAAGGTTGAACAATTATTTCAAGAAAGTATCGGTAGTCAAACAATCACCTTTCAGCATTTTGAGATTGAAGTTTCGAGTGCATTTCGTGTTTGAAATTAAGGCCTTATAATCTGTTCACTCTTATACATTTTAAATAATTAAGTCACGGACATTGTTTTGTTTCATTTGAGTTTATGCATTATTTTTCCCAACCTTTTGACAGAAGCCCCGATTTTATAGAAATACGTAGGCAGTTCATAAATCGTCTTTTAAGAAGGAAATAATCAAATTACTGAGGATAATCCGTACTGTGTGTTAGCAGACGTGAGTGCCTTCCCTGACCACTATGATTATGCAAATGTGTATGAAGCTCTAGATTTGCACAACGATGTCGTAGAAGATCTTATAAATATATTACAATATAAAGTTCACAGACAAAATTAATTTCCAAGAGGAAATGTAATTTTACAAAAGTTAGCAATATTAAATTTAAGTGTTTTATGTATCTTAATGTAAATAGCTTTTAAACAAAGGTGGTTAAGGACAAAAGATATATTTTCATACGCAGGTGGCAGTACATCGACGCATGAATATTCTTTCAGCGTTCTTTGTTTTATTGTTCAGTTTGAAATCATTCAAGAATATTCTTATAATATTTTTTTCAAAGTAAATATTTCATGATGATGAAGTTATTTAAATATATCCCTTTATAGATAGCATGAATTCAAAAGTGTGAAAACGCACAAATAACCTTTCATTAGTATTTACTAATGACGAATACTATCTCTCAGAGGATAATTATAATTGATAATTAGTTATACATGTTTATCTACATTTTCTGACATTCAAATATATTGTACTGTAATACTAAATTCACAAATAAGCAAAGCTATTATAAAATGTAAAAATGGTAAAGCATATAGTAGATCCGATTCCATATCAAACGAATATATAAAAAGCACTAAGAATATTATGCTACCAATCTATGCAAAACTTTTCAACAAGATATTGGATACTGGTATTATCCCCAGTACTTGGTCAGAGGGCTACATTATTCCAATCTATAAACGCCAGTAAGGAGAAAGAATCACCAACGAACAATTTAACTTTATTACAGAGCAAATGGCAAAACTAACACAAAGGGAAGTAACTCATGTAACACGCGGTATTCTTATACCAAATCACAATACAACTATTGGCGCTACCTCTTTTCTTTTGAAATGAAAATATTTTGTTTGACGAGGTATATTCAAACAGTATCAGATCAGTAAAGATATATATAAAGATATATAATTACACACACATGACTTCTATAGTACTTGCTTAAGTAGTGAACAACTAAAACGTGTGATTACTTATAACACTAGATTGAAAGAAGAAATAAAGCTTTTGTAAAAACTCAACAATATTGAAACATGTGTGGGATTAACTTGAACATGCATAATGTCGACAGAAAGTTAAAATACACTTTCAAGATTGTTATAACAATAACATTATTTCAATATAAACAACATTTGGTATTAAACTAGATCTAGCGTTGAACAAAACTTTAAATTCGTGTGGAATGGTGAATTAATGTTGTCACATATTGCAAAGTAATTAACACACATAATCATTTAAGTACTTAGGGGGTTTCCGAGAACGCTGTGGTCTGCTAGTATGTGATACACTATCGTCTACCGCGACGTCGTGATCATCTGCGTGAACTTGCTCCATAACGATCAAAGGGGAACAACTCTCATCGTCAGAATCGAACGGATTTGTAAGAGTTACAGGTGCATTGTCGTCCTGAACAGTTAATCCTTCACATATCTCCGGATCACTATCACAATCAGATTCTGTCAGATTTGGGATGTTATGAGATATATCACATATATCAGAAGGCACACGAAAACATTCCGATCTTTT